TAAAGGTACTACCAAGATAAGGAAGAGGATTAACGTCAGTGAAAGAGAACGGCAATTTGTAGTTAACTGCTATAAAGAATGTAATAGTAAGAACTGGAAAGATGTTGTTGTGTATGTCAAGTCAAGAATAGTGGATACAGGACTGAGAGAACGAGTCGTGCAGTTGTATATGGATGCCGAAAACGATACCCTAATCACAAGAATGAAGAATATAGTAAAAGGAGCTTTTAAGGCTGAGCCCGACATAAAACCAAAGTCAAAGCCTTTCCCTGAAGTGGAAACGAATGACTCGTTAAAGATGAAATATGCGCAGAAGAGGACTATTTCAGAACGACGAAGAGATGCTATAAAGAGCAAAGTTGAGCAGGAGTTTGTTTCATCATCCTCACAGTCCTCAGACAACGACGACTCAGACTTAGAGCTACCACAGTCATCCAAAAAAGAGAATTCGAAGAAGAATAGAAAGAATGACGCTGAGAAAGCACATAAAGCACACAAGATGATGTACATAAAGGCGATAGAAACCATGAATAGAGTCAACTCCTTTCTTGAGAAAGCCCAGCAAAGGCTGGGCAACAAAAAGTCAAGTCCGGATCCGTAATTATATTTGGGTTCAATAAAAAAACTGTTCTTGTTTTGTGGTGATGAACAATAATAAAATCTAATTATATGTTTGGAAWAAATGCTGTAATAASTGAGAAAATGATGCCTGTATTGCATCATTACATGAATTTATTGACTGTCAATAAAATTTGCATAAAATAAACCTATTTGCATTTTTTGTCTCGCTATGTGAAATCGTTCTAGTAGCTACAATCCTAGACAAAACTTAATTGGACACGCACGCTATTACTGCGCTCTAGCAGATGCGCTCTCTTATGGGCTGTTTTAATGCTTACTCAAAGCCTCCCCTCCCCCCACAGTCAATGTTGGTTAATAATGTTGTTGGCGGAAATGTTTCGGTATGGAAGGAGGGTTTGTTTCCAGCCCAACATTGAAAATGGGGGGCCACGGGGGGAAATTTTCAGAAGTTTTAGTAGACATACACTTTAAAAAACCTTTAAAAACACTTCAATCAAAGTGTAAAGACATCTAAAATGCATGTTMAAGTTTCAAGATATACGCAAAAGGGTAAAATGGCGGTTTTGAAGCCGTATGTGTCCTATTTATCCTCAAATTCCCGTGCGCGAGCATGGTGATGGACGTACGGMTTTACCCTAGAATTTTCAAAAGTTATTCTTGATACTCATGACGTCACCCAAAGGTCAAAGTCGATCTAACTGACAGTACTCGGCAACAGTACTCACCWATAAATCTATGTTTTATGCCCGTAATATAGTTAATTATRCTGCCACTTTAGTGCATAACCATAGCATGGATATAAAGTKCTTAACTTTTGGCGAAATACGTCAGGATTAGGGGTCAAACGTCAATTTTTCAACAGTACTCACCCTGGACACTGAAGAAAATCTTAATAAGTCTAACATAATTAAACAGGCTTAAGTGAGTACTGTTAATTATTGCTTATGTTTTCAATTTGCGATCTGGAAACGATCATATGGACAGTATAAATATGTGTTTGCACTGATGTAGAATCATATCAATTCAATTGAACAACAAAATGAGACCAAAGAAAGACATTTTTTAAGTGAGTACTGATCTGAGCATCGATAGTGCCGGTGTTAAGTCAATAATCTCATTACAGTCATATGCCGTGATCGGCATTTTCATTGTTTGTTTTATGTTTAAGCTATATTATGTACATGAGGACCTCGTAATATTTATTTACTTGCGATTGGAACATGCATTTTTTTGCACTTTATGGAACGCAAAATGCTCTTCTCATAGAGGAAATAACGCATTGGTCTTAGAAATACTGTAAGAAATACGGTAGGCATGTTTTAGACTTAGAATTCCTGGGGAAAAATATTTGAGTTCAACTCAGACA